TTCAACACTTTAAAAAGGTCTTGTGCAGCAGAGTTGCCTAATGCAATTTCTTGGCTGCTGCTTCCATGAGTGTTGATGGTTGAGCCAAGAATAATAGAGTCCTTGACAACTTAATCTTCTCCATTGATAAGAATGTTGTTTATTGGTCCAGTGGTGAGGATTTTTGTTTTCTTTACATTGAGATGTAATCTATACTGAAGGCTATGGTCTTTGATTTTCATCAGTGTTTTAAGTCCTCTTCACTTTTAGCAAGCAAGGTTGTATCATCTGCATATCGCATGTTGTTAATGAGTCTTCCTCCAATCCTGATGCCACGTTTTTCTTCATATAACCCAGCTTCTTGGATTATTTGCTCAGCATGTTGTTGTTGTTGTGTTGTTAAGTGCTATCGAGTCATACAGGTTGAATAAGTATGGTGAAAGAATGCAACCCTGTTGCACACCTTTCCTAATTTTAAATCATTCAGTGTTCCCATGTTCTGTCCAACTCCATAGTGACCCTGTACAGTGTTTCAGAGGCTGTAAATTTTTACAGGAGCAGAAAGTCTCATCTTTCTCCCATGGAGCAACTGGTAGAGTCAAACTCTGATCTTTCGGTTAGCAGCTCACCTCATAATCCACTATGCTACCAGGCTCCTTGGACACACAGTTGTTGTTAAGTACTGTGGAGTCGGTTCCGACTCATAGTGACCCTGCACAGGGTTTCCAAGGCTGTAAATCTTTACAGGAGTAGAAAGCCTCATCTTTCTCCCGTGAAACAGCTGGTAGTTTCGAACTGGCGACCTTGAGGTTAGCAGCCCGATTCGTAATCACTACACTACCAGGACACAGAGTAGGCGCTTACTAAGTGTGAGCTCTTCCCATCCAAGACTGTCACCAATGCCTCCTGCAAGGGGAGTTGACAGGGAGAACCAGCTGGAAGAGCCCCCTTCATTCCCACTCATGCCCTTGTGGGTGCAGATCCTGTACTGGGTGCTGAGAGAGAGAGAGAGAGAGAGAGGACTGTGTGGACCATGTCCTTGCTGCGTGAGCTGGGCAGGGTCCCGGGAGCCTTGGCGCAGGGGCAGGAGGATGACCTGTGGCCAGGGAGGGGCAGATAAGGTTCCATCAATCATCTGGGCCACCCTCCCTCCACTGGACCTCCTTCCAGCTGCTCTGTGTCCAGGGAGCCTCCAGGAAGGTAGGCCTACGAGGACCAGGACAGACGTGCGGGAGGGTGTGGGGCCAGTGAGGGTCTGGGACTGTTCATCACAGTGTCACTGCGGCCTGGTAATGGTGGAGGCAGGGGGTGGGATAGAGTGGGGGGAGAGGGGGGCTTTGCTTCTGCTTGGCTGGGAACTTCTTCAGTAAGCCCGTTTTGGGTCTCAGTTTTTCCAAGGGTTAAGTGGGACCCTGCTGGTCTCATCCACTTCCCCAGCCGCCAGGGCCCTGGTTTGCACAATAGGGTGGGCAGGGCCTGACCTGTGTCTTTTCCACTCCAGCTAAACCAGCAGCTAGAAGACAAAACACAGCCAGCTCCTCTCCAGCTGGAGCGGCTGTGGGTGGAGCCAAGTGGGGGCTCCGGAGAGGCGGGAGCAGGCTCAAAACCCCGTGGGGGAGGGGCAAGTGGGAAGAAGCGTTGGGAACCCCTCCACCCCCAACCCCCCAGTTAAATATAGACTGAGGCCCCTCCCCCTGCCACCTCTGTGGGCTGTTCGACCTCGATAAGCCACAGGGTGGCCTCAGCCAGTGCCCTCAGGCCAGACCCGCCTCCAGCTCTGAGGGCCCCTGGGAAGGGGTGGATGTCTGTGGGGCCCCTAAGCGCCCCTCTGAGCGGAAGCAGGCAGGCTTGTTGGGTTGAACTGGGGGTGCGCTGGGAACTACGGGGACCTAAGGATCTAAAAGTCCGGGAGTGCTGGATGTGGTTTGGGGTTTGGGCCGGGCCCCAGAACCTGCATGCTTAACTCCTCACTACGATGATTCTGATTGGGTCTGGCATGGCAGGCAGAGTGAGCAATGGGTGCGGGGGTAACTTGGAGGGGGTTAGGAAGGTGTCTAGGCGGGCGCCTGATGCAAATGGCCGTCTGTGAGTGTCTCAGTGCCCGGCTAAGGCCTGGCACAAAGCAGGTGGCCTGAGGATCACCTCCCTGGGAAAGCCTTCCCTGACCACACCTCTGGACCTGGCCAGGCCTCACAGGACTCTTTCTCCTGGCTGGCTGTGTCTGCTCCCCGGTACTGGACACCCCTTGTCCCAGGCTTCCTGAGCCTCCTTCTCACCCCCAGCTCTCCTGCTGCCAAGATGCCGTCACGACGGACAGTGGCCCTTGGACTGAAGCTGGGCAGCCCAAAGGAGCCAGCTGAACAAAAGACCCCAGTGCAGATCACTCGGCGAGTGAGCAGTGGGGACTCTCCCAGCATCCAATACGAAGACGATGCAGGACATGGCCTGGGTACCTTGTTGCGGTCCTTCGCCAGGGCTAGCCAACGGGCCCTGGTCCCTGAGGACTTCGGCCTGCTGCGGCGAAGCTCACGCTTCCGGTCCTTGCGGCGCACCCCAAGGAAGGCTACAGACAAGTCCCAAGCCCCCACCGTGCCAGGAGCGGCCCTGGACGTGCCCTCGAAGGGTACAGACAGTATCAGACGTCAAACATCTGCTGGGGTGGGGCCTAAGGAACTGGAAACCGAGGCAGGTGAGGATCTCACACCTTACCGTGTACGGGGTAAACTGAGGTCAGATGGTGGATCATTATCCACTCCCAAGATTGATGAGCTGGCTGTGTTTGCCCTCCCCCAACTTCTCCTCCTCAGACCCCCACTCCCATCTTCAGTGATTGGCACAATTCCTGTTTAAATCCTTCTAACATCTCAGGGGTAGGAGCTCTGGTAGCGTAGTGGTTACGAATCGGGCTGTGAACCGCAAGGTCAGCAGTTCGAAACTACTAGCTGCTCCGTGGGAGAAAGATGAGGCTTTCTGCTCGCGTAAAGATTTACAGCCTCGGAAACCCTGTACAGGGTCGCTATGGGTCGGAACCGACTCGATGGCTCTTAAAAACAACAACAAACATCTGAGGGAGGGGCGCACCCATTGGACAGATGGGAAAAGTGAGGCTTAGAGGGGCAAAGTGAGTTGCCTCAAATCTCACAGCTGGGAAATGGATGAGGTGGGATTTGAACCCTGATGTGGAGGACACCAAACCCCTAGCCTTCCATGCCAGCACCTCCATGCCTGGGCTCTTGGCCAAGTTTGGGGATGGAGAAGGCACCGGGTCTCTTTGATCTTGTGGTCACAGAGGGTGCTGGGCGTTGGCTGCTTGGAGGGAGGTGGGAGGGCCTGTCCAAAGGAGGAAGCGTTGGAGTGGACCCTAGTGAGGGTGCAGGTGGACGCCTGTGAGTGGAAACCGGCCAGCAAAGCTGAAGCCTAGCACCGGGTCAGGAGCCTGGACTCAGGCACGCCCAGCCTGAGCTCTGCCCTGTAATCAATCACCTGCAAGCACGCGAGGCCACCAGGTCCAGCTCAGCACAACCTGGGGTGGGGAGCCAGGGACTGGGCATTGGTGGCAGGCCCTAGACTGTGCCCTCCACACCTTCAATGTTAATTCAAATTGCTGTTTTCAGTCAGGCTTGGGGCCCCGGGGTGGGGGGCACACAGAATCAATGGAGATTCTGAGGGAGGGCTCCTGGCAGTTAGGACTGCCGTTCATTCCTGGGACAGATTTTCACCTGGACTCTGAGAGTTTGACGTAGGGGTCCATTTACCTCTGCGTCCCCACATATACTGCCTGTCGCTTGCAGAAGGCAAATCCGTGGCGGACCTCATCGCCGAGCGGCAATTGCTGGCGGCCTTCAAACAGCTGCGGCACCTGGAGACGCAACTGGTGGCTGGGAAGGCTTCGCGCGCCTATGAACAGGACCTCACAGACTTTGTGCGGCGCGCCATGGACGTATGTCTGCACTACGACGGGCTGGCTGCAGAGATCCGCGCCGTCGTGCGTGAGACGCTGGGCCCGGACGGCGTGGACGCGGCCGCGCTCACAGAACTGGCCCAAGTGGTGCGTGCCGAAGAGGAGGCCCACCCGGAGCCCCCTGAGGACGGTGACTTCCTGCGCATGCCGCGCCGTTGGCGCCAGCAATGGGAGGACGAGGTACGGCGCAGCGCTCAGGAGCGCGTACAGCAGGCAAACGCTGCAGAGGCCGCGGGGGACGAGGATCGCTCATCCGACCTGGCCCGCCTTCTAGCGGAACTCGGCTGCTTGGTCCGCGGCGATCTAAAGAAGGTGCGTTTAGAGGTGCAGCCCGCCTATGCGGCGGCCGGCTTCCAAGCATGGGAGGCCTACCTGCACGCCTTCCACGACGCCGTGGCCCTGCGCCTCCAGGAGCTGGCGAATGAAGCCCACGGCTGCGAGCAGCTCTACGTCCTGCTGGATTGGGCCGCCAATATCTACAGAAGGTAAAACCCCAGGCCAGGGCGCCACGGCGACCACCTGAGAGGCCTTTGGAAATGCTCCGGGGCGGGAGGGGGACACACAGAATGCCTGCCTTCTCCTTTCCTTCCTGGAAGAAGGCTGGTGATTGGGTGCCAGAGAACTCATGGGATCTTTGGTCCTCTTTCCTCTACACCCGAGGTCTGGGAGTAGATGGGACACAGTGTGCTCTCCCCAAGGGTTCTCCTAAGCTGCCACCAAACCTAGGTTCCCCGCGTTAGAAATAGCCTAGGGTGACGTTCTCACAGAGCAGGGCGCCATTTGAGAGGGCCTAGGCTAGTTCAGGTAGGCCTTTGATGGGATTAGAAGGCCCCCCTCTGGTAGCACCTGGTAGTTGGGCACAGTCAGCTAGGAGTCTGCATTCCTGACTCTGGACTGTGGAGAGGGTAGCGCTGGGTGCCTCAAGAGGTTCAGGCTCCCCTTCCCTGGATGTGTGGCCTTGTCCATCTCTGAGGTTTCTTGTTGTGGATTAGACAACAGCAGGTTTCTGAGCTGTGTGGTACTGGAGTGGGAGACCCCAGTCTTGGGTGTATCTTGACTGTGACCGAGGCAGCCGTCCGAGGTCCATTTGATGTGAGCGCTCAGCTAAGGTGTGTCTGGAGATTCAGCAGACACACACTTCCAGGGAGGGAGCAGGGAGGGAATAAAGACATGGAGGGCAGGCCCTGGGGTGGGGGTTGAGGGGAGGCAGCTGATTTGAACTGAAGCTCAGATTTAGGGGCCTTGGCTGCATGGCCTCAGGTCCAGGGAAGTGAGGGGCAGCTGCTACCCTATGCTTGGAGGATTCCTGTCCAGGCCCTCAGATTGCAGCCCTGCCTTCCAGTCCCGACTTCCTGGATGCCCCTGACCTGGCGTTGCCCGCAGAGCCGCTGCCCCCGCTGCTGGCACCCGAAGTATGGGCCCGACTGGAGAATGACTACACCAGTTTCCTTGAGGTAAGATGGGGAGGAGGTCAGAACGCCGGTACCCTAATGTTAGTGTATTACCCTAGGCTGCCGCTAGGTGCTGGCCTTGACTGGGTTGGAGTCACTTCCACCTGTACCCTCGGGCATGATCCAGGACCCCTGAAGGGTCACCCTCATTCCAGGGGCAGGGAGAGACCCAGAGGTAGGGGGCGTCCAGTCATCCACCCCCGAGAGTCTCACCACAGCTTGTCCCCCATGCAGACCAAGATCATCAGGTGCTTTGAAAACATCCTGCAGTTGGAGCAGAGTCACTGGGCGGCAGAAGAGGCCCCGGAAGTGTTGCAGGGCCAATACCATGCACCCCTGTCCATCGACATTCACATGGTGTGGCCAGGAGGGGCTGAGGGGACGTGTGGTCAGGCTTCAGACTTCTAACTTCCCCTTCCTGTGAATGGGACCCTGACCTTTCAGATGGGGAGGAATCTGGACCCCAGGGGCCAGTGGGCAATAGGTCCCAGCTGGGCAGATGGTTGTGGATGTTGGGAAGGTTGGAGTGCTCTGGGATGTCGTGAGGCCTCAAAGTGGGGGGCTGGGGTCTTCTAGGGTTTGGAACCGTCCTTAGTGCTTCACATCTCTCACAGCTCGTGGCTGAGCACGTGAAGGCCGCCGGCGCCATCTCAGCTGAGCTGGAGGCCACCACCCTACAGATCTGTGCGCGAGCTCTCAGCCTCTTCGTGCCTAGGTGCGGGCGTCTGCCATCCCGGGAACCCCATCCCGTTTTCTCACAACCTGAGACCTATCCTGTCCTGTAGGTGGGAGGGAGCAACCCTGCACAATGCTCCCATCCAGAAGACCAGAGGGTAGGCCGAGCTGGGCAGAATCCCTACGGCCTTTGCTTCCTGTACCCCCAGGTTTGAAAAGACCTTTTTGGAGTCCGAGGCTGTGAACGTGCCACACCTGGGTGCCTACATCAACTCTTGCGAGGAACTCAGGTCAGGCATCCAGGCCAGGTTCTCTGCAGGGGCAGTGCCCGGCGCGGCCAGTAGGGGGCGGGCGAGCTACAGGAACTGGGACACAGACTACTCCCGCTGTGCGGTGGGGGGGAAGGGGAGGCAGCTGGTCACTGTTCTGTGTGTGGTGTGTGTATGTGCATCTTGGCTCTGAAGAAACTGGTCTCTTCCAGTGAGAACAAGGAGGCCTCCAGGAACCAGCTGGTCTGGTCCTGTCCCCCCACCCTCAGTAATAGGCCATGGAGCTGGGACCCAGGAAGAGGTGGGGGAAAGGTTTCAAAGCTGAGCAAAGGTCAAAGAGTACCAGTCACCCCAGTCCCTGTTTACTGCCCAGCCCAGACTGGCCCTGCCAGTCAGGGCTCGGTTTCCTTCCTCCTTTTATCCCAACCCAACTTCTTCTTTCTTTTCAATGACACCCTTTTCTAGGGAGTCCTCCCTGACACTCCACCCTGAGTCTCATCTGGTCCCAGGAAGCCCTCATTGTGGGCTACAAGGTGGTTGCCCTTGTTCTATGCCCTCAACCCCAGGCTAAGCCTCGATGTTACACTCTGTGGACACACCGGCAACTGAGGGCATAGACTCTGGGCCACCCTCTTTGGGTTCAGATCTAGACTCTGCCATATAGTTGCTGTGTACCCTACGGCAGGTCACTTAACATCTCTGATCCATGTTTTCCCATTTGTCAAGTGGTGATCACAGCTTTTGCTCTCTAGGGCTATATGGGGACTCTGTTATAGAAAACTCAGGTTCCATTTGCTTTGTTACCTTGAATGCAGTGCGTCCATTTACAGATGGCAAAGGAAGTATCACATGACCAGTAGGTGGTGGACCTGGGTTTTAAACCAGGCCAACTGGATGGCACTTAACAACAACAACAACAACAGGGTCCAAAGTGTGACCACAACCAGGCACTGCTTCTCCAGCACGCTCTTGATCCTAATTAATGCCAGATAACTCCTAGGCTCTGGAGACTGTCAGCGTTCAGACAGCTCTGGTTCCTTTTGTCCCTGCATCTGGGAAGGACGTGCCAAGTATGGGGGGCCCTGGGGGATTAGCTGAGTTGCCCCTGGCCCAGACAGTACTCCCCACCCTGTCTGGGGGTGGTTCCGGCAGGGAGCCTGTACCATGGATTGTAAGGCCTGGGTGCTGACTGGCTCTCAGTTTCCACACCAGTGAAATGGGAATGTTTTCACCTCCAGGGGGCTAATTGTTGTTGTTGTTGTTAAGTGCTGTTGAGTTGGTTCTGACTCATAGCCTCCCTGTGTAAGGTTTCTGAGGAAGGTCTGGTGGGTTTGTGTCACTGAACTCGTGGTTAGCAGTCCAGTACTTATTCTACATCACCACACCAGGACTCCTGGGGGGTAATTACAAAGCTCAAAAGATAGCCGTGCCTATGCCAAGCACTGGTGCAGTGCTATAAGGTAAGTACTGCACTGTTAACCACAAGGTCGGTGGTTCAAACCCACCATCTGCCCCTTGGACACCCTACACAGGGATGCTGAGTCAGAACTGACTCCATGGCATATAACAACAACAACATGCCAGACATGGAGTGTTGCGCTGTGTTGTTACCAAGAATGATGGCAGTTAGGCCCAGAGCTGCCAGAGAGGAGCTTGACCATGGGGTGAACCCACCACGACCCTGCTGACAGAGCCCTCCATGGTCAGCTCCTGGTGGTTTTGTGTGGTCCCCTACTTTGACTCTGCTTTCAGAGTTACTACATTTTGCTGCCCTTCACATTGTAGTCTAAGTGAATGGAATTAGGATGCTGAGTCTGCATGGCTGTGGCTGAAGCTGGGCCTTGTGCTTCCAGCCTTCTCCCTTTACCCCGAACTTTCCTTCTCTTCCGTCTCTGACTCCCCTTTCTCCTGTTCTCCTCCCTTATTCCCCATTTCACCTGTCTCCCCTACTCCCACTTTACCAGTCTCCCCCTATCTATCACTTCACCTGTCTTCCCACCGTAACCCCTTCACCTTTCCTCCCCCCACTTCACCTTTCTCTCCCCTTACCCCTCAGTTCACCTATCCCCCCCTTAATCCCCACTTCACCTA